GCGGTGACGGAATTCGGTACTACAGCACAACGTGAGTCAAACTTGATTTGTTTTGCTACAAAATGATACCTCAACCGATTCTGTAAGCCTTCTGAATACATTTCTATACACTTTCAAAGTTGTAAAGTCTTTTTTGAATCAGACGGCGAATGCGACTGGCGTCACGTCTAACAAAAGGCGATACCAAGAAATTGTTCTGTTAGCTTATACATAAATGTAATGTACTCCATCCACACTACGATACGTCTACAAATGTAATATGTATACAATGACAAATACACAAGTTTTACCTCACATTTTTTCTCACGAGAAATTTGTAGAAGAGAGCTTAAACTTGGCTTCCATTGATTCTGACAAGGGAAAAAAAAAGTTAATGAGGTATGCAAGTAACTGTACACCAGATTTCAGCTTTTTATTCTGAGAAAAAAGTGTGTAAAATTTTTCTGAGTGACCTTTGTTTTCGCCACAAAATCGAATCGAAGTTCTGAATACGGACAATAACACTGCAGAAAGTCCCAGCTGATAATTTATAAGCAAAATACATTGTCTTTATTTTCTCCTTAGGTCATTGTTTTCTTTTGGACTTTTTTAACAGAATGATAATTGTAGATAGCGATCAGTGACTTTGTTGTAAAGAGATATAATTTTGTGCATCACTAAACATATTTTCCTGAATTCTGCCCACACAATCAGATTTCTAACAGGTGCCGAGATTCCACGTTGGACATTTCTCATTCTGACTATTCAAATTGTAATGAAGAACCAATACATTCTATTCTTGTTCGTGATAGGAACATTTAAATGTCTTGTTAATTTAATTTTCATTCTTCTCACTTACATTGAGATAAGCATCGCTTTTATAACAGCTAAAATAGTAATTTGCATCATGAATGTTTGTCTATTATGTAAATGTATATACTATTAAACAAGCCCTTCAGAATTTTGTTGTAAAATTCGCAATAGTGTTTAATGATAATTAACAATTTACGTTAATTTAACGAAAAATTAACATCGATGTAAAAATATTCCTATTACAGAAATCAATTTGTTGAAAGCTAGTTTGTTACTACATCTCGTTTGTAAGTGATGTTGCCACTTGGGGGAGGGGACGACATTGTAATAATGAAATTTAATATCCAGTGGTATGAGAGACTGATGATATATTATAAAACTGTGATGAATTGCTGTAGTTGTGAGGGTAGCTTTCATTTTCCTAGCATGGAACATATGTTAATGATATACTTAGGCACATAAATTATATTTCGCTATATGACTTCAGTGATGATATTAAGTTTAATTTACGAGATGTGATGTAAAATTTAAATTGTTATCATAGTTCAAGATTTGAGTATGTTTAGAAAGAGAAATATGTTTAACCTGTGAAAACTGGTGATAGAAGTTTTCCTTTTGAAAAGAATTAACATTGATTTTAGAGATATATTTAAGTATTATGGTTGTGTGTATGACTTGAATGTATTACGAATGTAAATTAATAAAGGTTGAATGCATTTATCATTGCTCAAAAACGTAGCAGCCCGCAAGGTATTTAAAGTCGCTAGTTAAAGTATGCATTCAGTTTGCTTGTGAATGCTCATTTTGACTTGTGAGCCACGAGTTATTTTAAACAGAATGAAAAAAAAAACATGATAATTTTACCCTCAATTCACCTGAGATATGTCATCACTTCACTGTAGAATTGCACAGAGTCCTATTTTAAGAGAAATATAGTTAGTTACTTCTTTCTTTCTGCACATTTTCTTAATGGATCGCTCTGTTACGCCCCATCTCCATCATGGAGAATACGTAGCACTCACACAAAACAAAAAGTTTTGAAGGCAACATCGCTCAATTACCTTGGTGATATTGTACATCTACAATTTATTTGTAGTTTGGGTACTTGTTGGTTATCGGGACACAAAACGGGAGAGTCGAATATCTGGACTTGGATTGGACGAAAAACTGCGCATGTGTATCAGTATACCCGTATACTCGGTTGTTGTTATCTGTTAGCTCGTTCAGTTATTTATTGCTGTTCGGTACCATGTTAAAAAATCTATAAGCTAATTTTGGCCTCCGGAGACAGGTTGTAACAACAATTAACATCTCATGCATATCGACATAAAATATAATTATTTGTCATTTATTGAAATAAAATACAATAACTTTCAAGTATATGTCATTTATCCACACACATTAACCTAACCTAACCTATTTTTAAAGCGATGTGTCCCGATAACCCACAAATACCATGTTTGTATTGGTGGAGATGCAGTCTCCCAAAAACAAGCATACATTGATGTCATTCCATGGACACCATCTGCCTTTCTGTTAGGTAAGTATTTTAATAGGTGTTTCAGAATTTCATCTATAGGTCCATTGTCACTGAGGAGATGTTATGAGTTTCCAAAATCAGACTGCAGACTGTTGAAAGTGAAAATAGCACATTACATAACTAATGTCATTGGTTATGATGGATGCTGGAATCTTTAAAACATACATTTCTGAGGCCAAGAACTTAAAAATAATATTGTAGTTATGACTTCTTGGTTAAATTAAAAAGAGGTTAAATTCAGGGAATGCTTGTGACGATGCAGTTCAGAGAGAATTAAGTATAATTTTATCTGTTAATAATTAAAGGAAGAAAAGCATATCAGTTTTGACAGGTTGAAACAATTCTTATTAACGAGCTTCTGGACTTCATGCATCATTTTACAGGAAACCCGTAACAGTAAGATTAAGTATGTTTCACAACAAACTGCTAAGGAGAATATTTAGACATAAAAGGAAGTAATATTTGTATGCAGAACATATAATAATTTGCATCATAATTCACAAAGGTAGATTTATCCATATGATTAATTAAGCTTGACTCCACGAAGACATATAGGGAGTGGAGGTACAGTTCCACATATTCTTAATGACATCACTAAATTGCGATGAGTGGTCAGCTTCAGCAGAAGTGTGGCCAGTACTAATATGATAGGAGGCTGGGTGGTTCCTAGAATGAGTCTGGATCCAATGCTTAATAGCAGAAGGCTGGATGAATTGGCATAAAGAAATATTTCTGTACCTGTCAGTCAAACTTGTCATCCAGCTTGCAGCCTAGTCACCCAATTAAGTGAGCTATCCTGTGTTCTTCATAATTTTTAACCTCCACTAAATCAAGGATGATGAAACAATTATCTTCTCAAGAAAGATGCTATACATATAATTAGAAACATTCTTTGAATAACTGAAGGTGAACTCTGACTAATTACGTGATTACTTACCAAAGAGCTTTCTCAAGGCCCCAGGTTTGATCTCTCAAAATAAGTTTTGAAGACTTTTAAAGTGCTGATTCTGAAGTTTGACAAAATAATGCAGATTGTGGCTGTGTGAATTGTTTGTTGTGGGTGGTAAGGTGCCGTGCCCAACCTCTGTCGCCTTGGTGATTGGGGTTTGGATTCATACGAACAGCATTTGCTGCCTGTATACATTAATATCTGTTTAAATATACACGTCTAATATGTGCACTAAACACTTTGCATGAGTACTGTACACATCAGAGAAATGATGGAGGCTCAAGTACCTCTGAAACGTCGGTAAACTTCTACCAGACTACACATCACAACACAAAAGACAGCCATCTTCATACTCACCGCCGTGGAAACCTCATATCATACACCTTACTCAAGGCTGCCAGCTGTAGTAATTTTTAGAGCTACTTTAGTTATTGGTGAAGTTTCTGAGATGTTCCTTTGGGGTTGCAGGCCGTTTGTCTGTTGTGCATCGCCGAGATTAACAGGTTAGGAAATGTAAGCGTACCTCAACAGTTCTAGTGTTAGAATTTAAAATTTAACTTTTTTGGAATGGCGCCAGTGACATGAGTTGTCTTTTGTAAGTAACCTTTGATCCTCCGTCGTCTTGTGTTGGCAGTCCTGTATCTGCTGTAATTTATTTGTTTCGATTTACGCGCATATCGACATTGCATAGACATCGATTTTGTATCGTGAGAACGTCGATAGATGTGAAATGTCCGAGGTTGTGACAGCTAATGAATGTTTTTATTAGAAATTAGCTAAATGGTTTGTAGGCAGGTAGCTTATGTTGGTTAGGTAACCTTCTGTAGAATACGGTTCTTCGTGGAAATTAATTTGTATTTAGTGCACTACTATTATCAAAGGTAGGTATGCGTTGCTCATAAATAATATGTTAGCTAATATGATTTCTTTCAATTCAAATTTTATGCGCAGGATGTAATGGTTCAGTCTGTGATGTTTTGACTAGGAGGAGGTATTAGTACGTCGTTATATTCGCAGTTGATAAATATTTACATGCTGTTACTTTTGAAGTATAGGTTATGATGGCAGGACGTTGGTTATGTTGTAGATTGACTCTGTGTGGGGTTGGGCCCCTCCTCCCCTGCGCCTGTACTTGGCCCAGCACCCTCGCAGAAGGATGGGGGAAATGGTTATAGGGGAGCGGCCCCCTTCACCTGCTCGTCTTTCACACACTTCAGAAAAACATCCTCGTGGAACATTAACTGAACTGAACGTATTACGACGTCACCGTGAACTGTGCGATGTTGTGCTGAATGTTGGCTCCAGGAAAATATTTGCTCACAGGTTTGTGAATTGCTCATTATAATTTTGTTGTGGTTTCTTGTGGCCGTATAATAGAAATTAAAAATTTCATGAAATACATTTTTGTTCTGATTGAGTTACCTATTGTTTGAATATATTGAAACAATGTGTGATTCATTGCATTACAATATCTGAATTGTGATAAGATTCTTTTAATATCACAATCTGTCACTGTAATTTTTCCTTTCCTTTTACTAGTACCCCCATAATAGAGGAATTCATATCCCCTATTACCATGTAATAAAGTTTAATATTGTAAAAAATATGCTTTGTTCTGTGTTGTTGCTTAAAATGCGGTATAGTGGCTATATTTTCTTCTATGGCTCTCCGTATTCGGTCCATGGCCTCCTCAATTCTCCTCTTCCATTCGGTCCTCTGTTAGGTCCGTCTGTCCGAGGTTTTGATCGAGGTTTCGAAACATCTTCCTTTTTACAGCGCAAGGTTGTTAGCCTTGCGACTAACCCCCAACCTGGAGAACCAGGGTACCTGTCTTAGTCTGACCTCTCCCCCTCGACCAATCTGGCTAGGGATTGGACTTAACGAGACTTTTATCCACAGGTGGCCTGAAAGAGGTACTGCATGTGTCTCTTTTTCGTATAACATGTATAGTTTCTAATGAGAGAGTTGTTACTAATGTCCTCTGCTGTGTTATGTTTCTTGCAGAGTTATTCTTTCAGCATGTAGCCCATACTTCCGAGCTATGTTTACTGGGGAGTTGGCAGAATCTCGACAAACAGAAGTTACAATTCGTGACATTGATGAAGTGGCAATGGAGCTCTTAATTGATTTCTGTTACACTTCACACATCGTAGTTGAGGAGGGGAATGTGCAAACTCTTTTACCAGCGGGTGAGTTGGGAAGTTGATAAGATGATGTTATTATGGAAATACTGTATGTTGAGCAAGTATGGATAAAATTACTTTTTTAAAGATATCTTTAAACCCATCAGTAGGTGAGTTTTTCTAAATCTATGTGAATCTCAATCATATTTGTATGTTTCTACCTCTTGGCAGGATTAGAACTTTAACTGAATGGGTATTGCTTAGCTGGCAAAGAAATTCTGCATCTTTTATGAAAACAACAGTTTCAATAACATTAGTGTGAACAGTTAAATGACCGCAATGAGTGGTTTTCTGTGTTTGGTATACTAGTGAGTAGACTGTTTTCTTATTTGATGGAAGTAAGATATTTGCTTGTTCTTGGTTACAGCATGTCTTCTGCAGCTGGCTGAAATCCAGGACATATGTTGTGAATTCTTGAAAAGACAACTAGATCCTTCAAACTGCTTGGGGATCCGGGCTTTTGCTGACACGCATTCATGCCGAGAGCTCCTCCGAATTGCAGACAAATTCACACAACACAACTTCCAGGAAGTGATGGAAAGTGAAGAGTTTTTACTCTTACCTGTGGGTCAGTTGGTAGATATTATCTCCAGCGATGAACTGAATGTGCGTTCTGAAGAGCAAGTGTTTAGTGCTGTTATGTCATGGGTGAAGTACAACGTGTCAGAACGACGGCAACATTTAGCACAGGTAAGTTAAATGTAAACTGAAGGATCCCTTCTTTATATTCTATGCACACTGCATATATTGTATTTCTCTGACATGGCAATGTTAGTCATCTCTTAGAGATTAATTTTCTAATACACAGGAGACTGAGGTAAGCAGTTAAAAAGAGTAGAGTTTTTTGGTTATGACTAATGCTGATTAAAGTGTGCAGTTTTAGACTTGTTATCAATTATGAAAATTTGTGTCACATGTGTTTGTTCCCTGACCAGATATTGAGCAGTATTGGTTAATACATTGGTTTTCTGTTAGGTATTGCAACATGTACGCCTTCCATTATTGAGTCCTAAGTTCCTGGTAGGGACAGTTGGTTCTGATCTGTTGGTGAGGAGTGATGAAGCATGCCGTGATTTAGTGGATGAGGCTAAGAACTATCTCTTGTTACCACAAGAACGACCATTAATGCAAGGTCCACGTACGCGTCCTCGGAAGCCTACCCGTCGAGGGGAGGTGTTGTTTGCTGTTGGAGGTTGGTGTAGTGGTGATGCCATTGCTTCAGTGGAACGGTTTGATCCTCAGTCAGCTGACTGGAAGATGGTGGCCCCCATGAGCAAACGAAGATGTGGGGTTGGAGTAGCTGTCTTGAATGACTTGCTGTATGCTGTTGGTGGACATGATGGTCAGTCCTACCTAAACAGCATTGAGAGGTATGGAAATAAAGTGCATGTTAAAACAGATGACCAAATAATTGCTTGGGAGACAGGCAAGTTTCTACAGTGTTAGCTGTGCGTAAACTATCCCACTGACCATATTAGAACATTTCGTGTATATTTGCACCCAAGTTTCTGATTACAAAATTTTAGTAGAAATGGGTGTGACTTAAGCAATGAAATATTGTATATTGTGGCTTGCTAAGACCCAGAATTTTGTTTGTTGTATGAATGACCTGTGTAAAAAAGATACTGACTTGTGCTTTTGTATTCAATTCAGTTTTTATTTACACTGTTTCCAGATGTGATTGAGAGTTGACTGTGTCATTGAGGTTTGTGTCGAGCACAAGAAACTGTTGTTGCAGGTATGATCCACAAACAAACCAGTGGTCCTGTGATGTTGCACCAACAACTTCTTGCAGAACTAGTGTTGGAGTGGCGGTTCTGGATGGTTTTCTCTATGCTGTTGGTGGCCAGGATGGAGTCCAGTGCCTTAACCATGTTGAGAGGTTGGCACTCTGTGGTGTTACCAGTGATAAATATAAACAAGTGAAGAAATGCATGCTTACCATAATGGTTCTGGTATTTTTGTCAGAATTAATTTCACTTTTCAGAATGGCACCAGTAAAGTCAGAGTTGTAAGATTTGAAGTTTTCACAGTGGTGAGTATGAAGATTTCTGTCTTCTGGGTTGCGCTGTGTAGTCTGGTCGATGTTTGTGTAGTCTGGTCGATGTTTACCAACGTTTCAGAGGTCATACTGCCTCCGCCATCAGGGCGATGAATATTCAGGCAGTATGACCTCTGAAACATTGGTTAACATCGACCAGACTACACAGCGCAACAACCCAGAAGACAGAAAGCTTCAAAGTCAGAGTTGTCTAAGGTCAGTGAACTTTGTGTGGGCAGGGTATCTTGTGCATTCTGATTGGTTGATGACATCATCACATAATTGTGCAGCTGGTTGGGAAATAAGTTTGTGTGTAAATGTGATAACATGAGATAGAAAATTTGAGTAGCCCCAAAAAGTTTTGTTGCAGTATGGTCAATTTTCTTCATTGCCATTGTTCAGCTTTGTGAGTCAGCTGTTCAGAATTTTTGTTATGATCATAGAAGCAGATGAAGAGAACTTACTTTATGTTTGGTAAATTGTAATGGTATGAGTTATGTGTTTGAGGTAGCTGGACAGGGTGTGAAAAATATTTTTTAAAATTAAAAATTATGCTGTCTGAATGCCCATATCATCATCTCACTGTATGCATATAGAAGTAGGATCATTTTTCAGCACATTTTGATTCTGCGTTTAATTTCACAATTATAACATCTGCTACTGGAATCACATTAGTAAAATGTGTGAAATTTATTAATACTCCTTGCAAAATAGTAAACTTATCAAAGTATTGATAGTTCGTATGTAAGATCATTACCAACAATGTTTGTAACTTTTATGTCAATTTAGGTATGATCCTAAGGAAAACAAATGGGGAAAAGTTGCACCAATGACAACTCGACGTCTTGGTGTAGCTGTAGCGGTGCTTGGTGGATTCTTGTATGCTATAGGTGGCTCAGACGGGCAGTGCCCTTTAAATACAGGTATTTTTAATCTTTAGAAGCACGTTCATTAAAGAATAAAAGATCATATTGCTGTGTGTAATATATCTGTTACATCAGAATGATGTGAGAAACAGAAGTATTGAGTATCTTGTTGTACACACAGGAATTATATAAAGAGCACTGTGTAATGTTTTCCTTATTTTTCAGGGTTACTGTCTAGTTTAAATATTTAATATATCATTCAAGTTGCAACACATAATCTTTGGGTTTGTTCTGAAATGGTCCACAGCTCATCAAGTTTTAGTTTCTTTCGAACACGTTTATGAGATTGAAAGTGAAAGTGCATCTGCAATTATTTCTACAACCAAGATAAGGACCCACTTGATTTCATTTGTGTTTGCCATGAACTGACACTAGGTTTTTTGACTGATGGAATGGAAGAAGTAGCTCACTAACTTGTCCTCCGAACACTTCACATCTCCCACCATTGTATTTTTTATGTATGGAAATGTGGAATACAATGTCTCCAAGAAAATTCTTGATTTGGAACATTTGAAGTTGGAGACAATATGTTCCTCCTAGATATTGGTAATCACACACTGGACCGCAGAGCATCATAACCCAGAAGATCACTATTGACATCTAAAAGAGAGAATCACAACAGTCAGTGACTTTTTCTGCATACAAGTTTAAAATTGTATGTGAGACTTTGAAGGTCTCACAGCAGTGAAGATGTTGATGTTGGTCTTCTGGGTTGTATTGCTGTGTTGACTTGTAGATGGATAACCGACATTTTGGAGGAACATACTGCCTCCATCTTCAGAAACACTGTATTCCTTCAAAATGATAGTATCTACATAGCATTACAACCCAGAGGACCAACATTGCCATGATTATGTGTCTCACATGGAATGAGATATTCAATCTTAAAACCAGGGAGCTCTAGCTATTTGGAGAATTGGTGATGTTTATGCAGTATTTGTATTTGCAGTGGAACGGTATGATCCTCGTCAAAATAAGTGGTCCCCAGTGTCACCAATGTCAACAAGACGCAAACATTTAGGTTGTGCAGTATTTAACAGCTGCATTTATGCTGTGGGTGGCAGAGATGACTGCATGGAACTCTCCAGTGCCGAGCGTTACAATCCTCATTCTAATACTTGGAATCCTATTGTGGCTATGACTTCACGTAGAAGTGGGGTATGTACATTATAACATAATAAAAATGTGAATTTCATATGAAGCTTTTAGAATATATTGATCATACTGAAATATAATTTCTGACATTATATTTTAATGTGAAACAGAGTAAGAAATGCATACATAATTTTAGTCAGAACATCTGGAGGGAAGAGACCACTTGGGAGAACTAGACATATATGTGACAATAATATTAAAACGAATCTTAAAGAAATAGGATGTAGATTTTATTTGCCTGGTTCAGTAGGGTCCATTGGCAGGCTTTTGTTGCATAATGAACCTTTGATTTCCATAAAACTGGGGAATTTGCTGACCAGCTGAGTAATTATCACATTTTCAAGTAAGATCCTGCATCATGTAATTAATCATATTCTAGAAGTGGTTGCTGTCATGTGGTCTCATAGGTACAAATCTTTGTGGGTGTGTTTTCTCTTTCATTAATGTTGCAAATTAGGTCAGTGCTTTATAAATGTAAATAAGATTGGTCAGCATGCTTAGGACAACTGAAGAAATTGCAGTGAAAGTACATGTACAAATACTGTCAGTGTTCAGAACACATTATTTGTGAAATGAGGCAGTATAACACAACTCTTTCAAGTTTAGAATTTCATGTTGCAGGTTGGACTTGCTGTTGTGAATGGACAGCTATATGCTGTCGGCGGCTTCGATGGGACAGCATACTTGAAAACAATTGAAGTATATGACACTGATCAGAACCAATGGCGCCTATGTGGAGCCATGAACTACCGTCGCCTGGGGGGAGGGGTGGGGGTCATGCGTGCCCCACAGACTGAAAACTATTTCTGGTAATGTTTCACTAACCATGGCTTCGCAGTGCGACAAGTTGCACCCATAGCATATCTCCAGGGACTTGATGAAATAACATTTCTTATGTAACCATAACTATTATAATAATTAACAAATGTCTAATTTTTTCAGTAAAAAGAAGATAACAGTATGAAGCTTTTGTTTTCACGCATTGCCGTATACATGCTGCGATATGTTCGTTTCATGTGCCATCAGGAGTTGAGACAAATCTCATTGGATTGCAAGGGCCTGAGTGTACCCACCAGAACAGTGAGTTGTGCATCGAGCTTCGTAGTACAGACTTGAGGGTGGAAAATCACTTGCTATTTTGTTTTAAATTTAAGTTGGGTTAGTGAAGGTGACCTTCATATAAAGCATTTAAAAATAATTATTTTTGCTTCTTGTCTTTCATTTTAGTAGTAAAATATCTTTTTTTGAATGTTACTGTCTTCTTTACCCAACAAGATATAACTGTGTACTTCCAGTGTCAATTGTGTGGGTAGCAAGAGAGGTTATCATGTTGTACAATGAAGTGCAGTATTATTTAATTTAATGTATAATGACTTCATGTATCTGTTATTGTGAATGTATGGCAATAAGATGTGTTTTAAATTTTGTGAATATTGTTACAAAATATAATTTTGTCATTAAATATGAACTTCCAGATCATGATCTAATTGTAATATAAGATCTGCTTTGCCTGTGACGTGGAATATAAAGTGATGACATGATAAATTATAATATGGATTGGTTCAATTTGATGAATGTATGGATTGAATGATGGATGTACACCTGTTGGATGTATATGTGTATAATGGAATTAGAATTGTCCTGAGATAATGACACTTGTATGCCCATATGTACAGAGGAGTTTGGGGTTCTTTTTTTAGAACAAATTTTATCCAGTTTACTCTTAAAATACTACTTAGAAGGCAAGATATTGTACACTGTCTACAGCATTACTGTGTATATCAGCTATGTAGTCTGCTATTGTGGGCTAGACTGCTATATTACCAATACTGGAAAATTTATTTTTACAGCATTTGTAACACATTAGTCACATATATTTATTTATTATTTCAGTCTATACACAAACTTATTATTAAAATGTTGTTGTTAAAATTAAAATTTAGCGCTTTTCATCGTTATTACGATGTTACATTTCAGCGCTTATTATTTTACGACATGTTTCGATGCTATTGCATCATCCTCAGGTTTTTATT